GCCCCTGTGCCACCCTATTAACTGTGGGAAGCCACCTCAGAGCCCTCTAAGCCCCTCAAGCCATGCAAAGCCCCGTCCCCACCCAGCTGGGGCATAGCACACGTATTCCACAGCACATCCCACACTGGTGCGGGGCACCGACACCCACCCAGCTCAGGGAGCTGGGATGAAGCAGCCCTGAAAGCCCCCCTGACCCAGCGTTGCTCTACAGGAGCCTTCCCAAATCCCTGTGGTTCCTGCCCCTCTGTCAAGATGCGGGACAAGCCAAGTTTTGCAGCCAGCTGCCTGAGGGTGGGGAGGGTCCCCAGGGGGTGCTGTGAGGCAGACCCCTACTAACGGGGTCCCTGTGGGGCCCCACAGCAGAGCCAAAAGCAGCCTCTGGGTTTAAGGCTGGGCAGGAGGGAGGACACGTGTCCCTCAGCAGGGGAAGGGGACCCAGCAGAGGGGGAGGCGCATGGGATGTGGTGGGGACTAGGCTACAGAGGGGGGGTCTGATGGCGAGCAGCCTCCCCAGGGCATGGCCGGCAGCACGGAGCATCCCAGCAGGGCATTCCAGCTCCCAGGGTGTCCTCACAGGCTGAGGAAGTCCTCCTTCCGGTACCCCTTCTGCAAGGAGACAGACCCCCATCACACGGGGCAGTGGGAATGTGCACATGGACCCCTCTGCTCCAGCACCCACAGGCCACGCCGTCCCCACGCCATCAGCACAGGGACAATGCTCTGGGAAGTCCCCACCTCTCAGGAGGGCCAGGCATGGAGTGGGGACCCACCGTGTGCCGGGGAAGCACTGGGGTGGTGCGGCTCTCCAGGGTGAATCCCCTGGCCTTGATTCCCTCGGGATGCCCCCCCAGACTCCCCCCCCGGATGCACGAGGCTCCAGAACGGGTACGTACCATCTTGAAGTCCCGGTGGAGCTTGGTGTACTGCCACATGTTTCCCAGGAGGCTGGCTGCGGCTCGGGAGGACTTCTCATTGTCCGAGCTGGGACAGGGATAGGATGCAGTGAGTTTTGGGGACGGCTGAGCATGGGATGGTGCCCACCAGCCCAAGGAGACCACCCCAGAGGGGCCTGGAGGCTCAGCGCAGGTGGGGAGAGGCAGGAGGCAAAAGGCTGGAGCCCACCACAACGGGCAGGAGGGAGGAGAAGCATCCTGATGGGAGAATGTGGCTGCAGCAACGGTGGGGTGCCCTAAGAGGGGGGCCCAGGGATGGCAGGAGGCCACGAGGCCACTCTGAGCCGGTCTGGGGACTCCCAACACCAAAGGAAGGGAAGGGAGACTTGTCGTGACCCTCTTCCACCGCACTGGACCAGGGGAGGAAGCGAAGAGCAGGACGGGAGCCCAGGTGGGAGCTGGGACAGCCAGGAGGACGGGGAGCACCCACCTGTCCCGTCGCTTCTTGATGAAGAAGAGCTTCCTGAGGCCGTCGAAGTAGACGATGTCGCGGGCAGCCATGGGGCTCTCCACCACCAGGTTGTTGAGCACGGCGATGATGTTCACGATGACATCGGCGGGCGGTGCCTTGTCCCCCACGCTCCCAGGCAGCTTCTCGATCAGGTGGCTGACCACCTTGGTGGCTGCGGGCAAAGGGCACGTCAGGGCTGGTGGCCAGACCCAGGGGACACGCGGCAGCCCCCGGGCGGCAAGGAGGGGACAGAGGGTGGAGCCGTGTCTGGGAACAGGGGATGGACCAGCC